GGGCGGGGACCACTGAGGGCGGGGACAGAGGCACTGAGGGCGGGGACAGAGGCGCCGAGGGCGGGGACAGAGGCTGGCGCTGAGAAAGGACACTAGAGTCACTCTCCTCACCAGTGTTTCAGGATGAGCGTTGGCCAAGTGTTGCCGAACATAACTATAAAGTACATTAGTGTTTCTAAGTACTTTAATTCTGTTCAGAGTGCAGTAATCCATTAGATAGCTAGTGGCATTGGGACAGCTGTTCAAGTAAGTCCACTTCTGTGGAAATGTAAACTTTTGGGGTACGAGGTCCTATGGGGCTCAGGCATTTCAACTCTAGATACTTTGTTGATTTAAGTAGTTACTGGGAGTTGGAGGGGGATTTAAGCAGGGGAAGCAAGCAGCTGATTATGTTCTTTCCAGTGAGTTCTGTTTTTGGAAAACAGGTGCTTTTATGAGCACTTTAAACACATCTAAGAAGTTGTTGTTGAAATACTAGTGCATACTTTCTAGTATGTTTCTCTTTTCTTTTACCTTTTTTCTTCTGTTTTACTTTCTCTCTAAAACCTAAACTCGGCACTTGTATCCTGGACTCACCTGCCGGCATGGTGGGATGGCCATCACCTGCTGGATGTCTGTACTCTTTCTCGCCGGTCAGCCAGCTGGCTTCCAAGTCCACTTTGCTAAACGCAACAAAACAAATCAAACTTCCCTGGATTTTATGCACCAGCTGCCTCTCTGAAGTGCTTGGCCTCGGGGAAAGGCCACGTCTTTAGAAGGCTTTTTCCTTTACCTCCAGATACCTCTCACCCTTGCACTTGTCCCACATATCTTCGCTGTTAATTCTTAATAGTAATGATAATAAGCTCAATAGTCACAAGGTTGTCCCACTGGCATCACATTTGTATACTCAAATAGATCACACCAGAATTTAGAACCAGAACTTCTCCCTCATTGTCCAAATCAGTCCAGCAGAATTCACCACACATTGAAACTTCCACTGTGTGATAGGTACTGTTCTGTGGTCAGAGGCTCTGAAGTTCATTTGCAAGTGAATGTAATATCAGAAGAAATTACAGAGGTACTATGTACCGAAATACTAGCAATTTTTGTTATAAATGCAATAGCTTTTATAGTATGGCAATGTTAAGATTTATTTGTGATTTTCTTGCCCAACTATTATCTAATCGTATTTTAAAATTTATCCTTTAGGGACAGTATGGAAATTACCAGCAATGAAAGTTCTCACATTCCCATGGCCAGCACCTGCCAGCAGCCACACCCACGCAGCCCTGTGGACCCTCCGGGAAGAGCCCCTTCCATTGCACCCCGTTTTTGGAGAAGCCTTGGGCTCAGGGGCTGTGTCACCAGTCGGCGGCCGTGTGGCTTAGTTGCGTAAAAGCCTTTAGTAGCTCAAAAATACTCTTTAATTCCCCATTTCTACTCTAGATGGCAACATTGGACAGAAAATAGGCCGCAACCAATTTGCAGTGGTTCCGGGACTGTTTCAGATGGACTGTTACAAGCTGGGGGTGCGAGCAGCTTCGTATGTTTTGCAGGTTAAGGGAATTTAATACTTTTCCACAGACGCTTTTGTAAGGGGGAGGGAAATGTACACTTTCTACAGTTAGCAATATTTTGTATATTATGTTTATTTCATGTGAACATGCAGGCGGTACACTACGCGTGGGGCAGAGGCCGCAGTCCTGCTCCTGAGGGCGGGGCGTGTGGGCGCTTCATCGTGTTGGTCTCAGTGGTGAGGCTGCAGGTCCCG